TTCTGTTAAGTTTCTCAGGATCCACATAAGAGTGAAAACATAAACTCATATCATTTTTAAATGATCAGCTCAAGTGTCACTTCTTTTGTGAAATTTTTTTCTGATCCTGATGCCATCTAGAGACTGATATAATAATCAGTAATTGCATTTATTATGATATATAGGAAGTTTTGCCTTTCTGATCATTTCTATCATTTGAACATAAGCTTCATGAACATAACAATTTTTTTCTTATCATTGCATTTTTAGGTGTTAACACAAATCCTGTTAAAAATTAAAGACTAGTTAAATCATGTTTGAATTAATGAATAAATGTTTCACAGTGGAGAAGAGCTTTGAGCTTTGGGTTAAAAGATGAGTAGAGCTGAGATGAAGAAAAGAGCAAAAATGGCATTAGTGAAGTCCTCATGGTGTACAAGCATAAGATGTTTTGTGGGCAGTGACTAGGCCAATTTGATTGGATAAATTATTTATAATTTGTAAGATGAATATAAAAATTACTGAATTTTAAGAAAAGCTCTAGATCTATAAGATCCAAGATGGTGTCATAGGAAGATCCTGAACTCACTTCCACTCATGGACACACCAGTTCTAGACCTGCATATACAGAATTTCCTCCTCAAGAAGAATTGAAGGTTGATTGAACAGCTTCTTCACAACAAACCATAGAAGAACCACACAGGGAAGGGTAGGAGAGACAGAGACCTGGTAACAACAAGAACCCCATCCTCAATGCAGTCACCTGCAATAGGGAGGGATACCAGTGAGACCACATGTAGAGTTGCCCACACTGGGACATAAATGAAAAAAAAAAACAGCAATTTGAAGAACAACTACACTATAGGAGAAGGAAATCTATTAACCCTAGAGTGTCTTCCCAATGGGCAAGAAAAAGCTGGAACTATCTCTGGGGTTGGAGGCACTGGAAAATACCATTTTAACATTCCCCATCTAGCTTGATAGTGGGGACAGGAGCAGGGTCCAGGCATTCTAGCTAGTCTGTTAGTGCTAACAAACACACTGTTCCCCAGGCCCTTGACCCAAACCAGTCTCAGCCTTCCACCTATATTGTTGTCCTGGCATGACAAGGTCTGGACCTCCCAGAGTTTGTGCCAGACCCAGTTGTCCTGATAAGGGGACACAGTGCCATGCATCCTAGGACATCTCTTGCCCATGCCCAATCCCACTATCCTACCCACACAGCCCCAGATAAGTGTACACTGGGAAGCATGCAGCCCATGCCCACTCCAACTCCGGCTATTTTACCAAAGCAATCCTGGCACAGCAAAAACTAGGACCCTTTCAGACTACACTTGCTCCAGCTGTCCTACCATGTTGGTCCCATTGTGGCACTCTTGAGGGGTACACCCCTGGCCTATATCTGATCAAGTTACACCACCAAAGTGGCCCTAGCATAACACACCAGCTTGTGCCCATTATAGCTTCAGATATCTTGCTGAGATGATTCAAGTATGGCATTCCCTGGGAACTGCCCACCTGGCACCTACTCCAGGTTCAACTGTCCTGCAAACATGACCCTGGTGCAGCACACCCAGGAACACCACTGTCCTGTGTCCACTACAGTTCCAGCCATTTCCACCAAGGTGAACCCAGCATGTATGCCCTGGGACACTTTGGCCAGCACCTACTCCTATTCCCACGATGCCACCAAAAAGGCCCCAACATGGCTTATTCCAGAACCTGTCATGTGCCTACGTCAGATCCAAACCTTTTGAAATGGCAGCTCCAGTGCAGAGCACTTCGGGACACCCAGGCCTGTACAATTAAAACTCTAATCATCTTACCAAGGCAGAAATAGCAAAGTATACCACAGTAACCTACAGCCCACACCCACTTCATCTCCAGCCATCCTGTCAAAGCCACCCAGCACATAGTCCACAAAATGAGTGCTCCTATAAAAGAATACTACTTCAGACAAGGAGAGGTAGCTATTTCATCTAATTCATAGAAACAAGTGCAGAAAGTCAAACGAAATGAGACAGAGAAATACGTTCCAAGTGAAAGAACAGGATAGAACCCCAGAAAAAAAACTAATGAAATAAAGATAAATAATTTACCTTATAAAGAGATCCAAGTATTTGTCATAAATATGATCATCAGGATCAAGAGAAAACTGGAGGATCACAGTGAGAACTGCAACAAAAAGTTAGAAAATATAAGAAATAACCAGAGATAACCAATACAAAAACTGAAATGAAAAACACACTAGAGGAAATCAACAGCAGATTAGATCATTTTATCTGGAAGACACAATAGTGGAAATCACCCAATCAGAAGAACAAAAAGAAAAAAAAAGAATTTAAAAAAACGAGGATAGCTAAGGGACTTCTGGGACAGCACCAAGTGTGTTAGCTTTCACATTATAGAAATAATAGAAGGAGAAGAGAGAATAAATGACAGAAAAATATTTTTAAAACATGGCTGGGGGCGCCTGGGTGGCGCAGTCGGTTAAGCGTCCGACT